CCGTCTGGTGTAGTGGTAAGAGACATGGACACTACACAAGGGGGTCGCGGGTTCGAGTCCCGCCAAGGGAAGATATTTGTATGATAAATATAAATGTATTTTCCAGGGTTATGGATGTATATTAAATATATGTATGTGTATAATAAAAATCTTACATTTATATCCGTTATCTGGTACCTGTAACACAAGTTCTTTACGAACTTATCACGGGACCAGTTAACGTGGCGTGATTGTTAGTAAATATTTATTTATTTAATCCTGACAGAATCAAAGCATCGAATTTTAAAATATATAAAATTACGTCCATTGATAGTCAACATTGCTAAACAAAACTTTACGCTAAATTTCCCCCAATTTCGCGCTAAATTACGTTTTTGCCTTTATTTTTATGAATTTTATACCAAAAATGTTGAAAATGTTTATCAGTATAACTAGTACAATGTTTATACAGCATATAGATACGGCATATCTATAGATTTTCACCACATCACACTGTCTGTTACCTAAACATTATCAGATGTCTTTCTATAATAATTAAAGGCTGTGAGACCTATCAAAAAGTCGTAAGTACTTTGTTTGTGAGCTTACCGTTGCTACCAATTTGCTATAAATTCTACCTTGGCTGGTAAAGAAAAGACTTTTACTTCTTTTTGAACTGTTACTTACATTATACTGTGGCATAAGTACGTGCAGTTAATATAACAAGCGACGTGATGATTACCCAAATACACCCCTCTTTCATATTTGGTCTGTAATTTTTCCGGAAAGAAACGTTGACATTGAATGAAGTATTTAATATCCGGCCGATGCCGAACATTGAATGAATATGGATCCGTATTTATTCCAGAGTCATATTTAAGAGCAACCACTGTATGTTTTTATCCAGAATACGAAGTTTAAAGAGTTTATTTAAGAAGTTTAAATCATTTTTAAATTATTCTTAGTCTAAGTCACAGCGATCACGGAAACAAACAATAAAAATTCAATAACAAATAATTTCATTTCTCGGTATTATTATAGTTGGAGGAAAGAAAAAAGAGTTGAAATTGTTGAAATGAGTTCCAATTTTTTTACTACAAAACCGCCGCAAAGCCAAATGCTTTAAATAACCAAAAATAAGTTTGGGATTGTTTTGAAAAAAAAAAACTAGTTTTAAAAATAAATTCAAATATTTTCCAGGAACATTTTCAATAGCAGACAAAGCGAAGTTCAGGAACAGAAACCATTTTTTGGCCCGGGGCAACTTTTATTGGCACGTCACAAATAGAGCACAATAAAATTTCATCCATTAATGAATTAGAAAACGCACTCAGCATGATAAATAAAGGGAAGCATTTCGTGAACATTTCATATCACACGTTAAAATTCAGGTTAACGTGTTTGTGAAATAAACGAAAGGTTTTTGTCGAAAAATGTAAAAAAATTATCAAGCGAAATTTTCAAATGATTAAGTTCGATCTTGCGTGAAATTGACAAACGATAATTTAATCGTATTTATGTTAATTCTCGAGGTATTTCAATATTTTTACTAAAAGGAGAAAAGGAGGCAGTTCATCTTACAATAGTTTGTTTGGTTTTCCACAAGAAGATTTAACTTACTTTTATATAAAACTATCAGTTCCTTCGTCTATTTATCTTTTTCTAAGTCTTTCCTTAAGACGAAAGACGAATTTAAGCCCAATAAAATAAAATAAAAACGTAATAATGTGTACATATTTAAAAATTCAATTAGGAAATATCATACATTTGATTAAAAATCAAAGTAACTCATCAGGCATATGAATAAACATCTCTAGGAATGGCAGAGAGGAACTTTGCTCTCACGGTGGACTGTACGATACTAGAAATAAGGACAGTTTTTAACTATACATTGCTACTCTTAAACCACGAGTCAGCATTAAAAACCACGATAAGTACAAGGAAATAGTAGGCAATTGGAAGCCTGGTTCATAGAAGAAAGCAGTACTACGCGAGGTCGTAAACCTATGGTAATGTCTACGTCTTTGTGTAATGTATGTATATATATATATATATATGTTTGCACTAAGTTTGTGTTCCTAATTCTTCTTTCCTTTTGCGGGCCTACTGGAAGAGATTTCAACATGAAATAAGTAGTGCCCTTGTACTCTGTATCCTTATTGTTGTGTTTCTTCTAACAGCTGTGTGTACAAAATATATTAAATAAATAAAATACTACTCTGCTCTGCTGTGGTCATTCAACAAAAAAATTCTAAAAAGAAGCTTTTGGCTTTATCTACCAATAGACTTTTCGATATGGTTCCAAGGCTTCCTAAATTTTTATAAGAACTTAGACTGAAAATTGATATTTGACTAATGGTGTCGTAACCCACCAGATATACATAAGTGGTAACTAGAGTGTATTTAGAAACAATGGATGAACACATGATTAACGGCCGTCTGGTGTAGTGGTAAGTGACATAGTCACTACACAAGGGGGTCGCGGGTTCGAATCCCGCCAAGGGAAGATATTTGTATGATAAATATAAAATGTCTTTTCCAGGGTTATGGATGTATATTAAATATATGTATGTGTATAATAAAAATCTTACATTTATTTCCGTTATCTGGTACCTGTAACACAAGTTCTTTACGAACTTAGCACGGGACCAGTTAACGTGGCGTGATTGTTAATAAATATTATTTATTTATTTATTTACATAAATACCGCTGCAAATTAAGTTAAAATCTTAATTGAAGGCACGGATAGTTTCGGATGGTCTACCCTTCAAAATTTAACACACAATCGCTTTGAAGCAAGAATAGGTAACCCGCCGCCGGTTAATTGAATCGATGGATCCCAAAGATAGATCCGCATTAACCCATGTGTTGGAACTCCGATCACAGGACATGTAAAATATCATCGATTTTTGGCAACTTACAAAACTATCGAATTCAATTGGTTGATAAGAAACACAAACGTCATACGATACTTCAAGAGTACTTTTACTGGTAAGCGGATTACTTAGCAGACGCCTTTAACTAAGTATTATAATACAAAATATATTCCTTTGATAGGACTAAAGTTAGAGGAAGCCACTTTATTTTGATCTAAAATAGATAAAATTGATCGCAAAAGATTAAGCCGCTCGTCTGATCTGGTTTGATTTTTTTTTTTGCTTTAAGCCGCTTTCGATGCGGAAGAAAAAGTACAAGATTATATTTTTCAAAGGACGTACGTCGGTGTATTTTGGTTTCAAATTGAAAAAGGCTTCTTTTGCGCGCCTTGTCCTTTTAATGTGGCTTCAAAGCAAAACTTATCGATGATATCCATGATTTCCATGAAGGTTATATATTTATTATTTTTACTTAGTTAAAATAATTTTGTATTAAGTTTCATGTTTCATCGGTATTACATTATAGATATATGTATCACAAATCCTTATTGGCTTTAGTTATTATTACAATAATATCAGGAGCAACGAGACAGGCAGACAATTTCCTAATGTTGAGATGGTATGGGTTCAAAGATACCTAAATGTTGTTCAATCATGCATGGCGCTTATCTACGCGGCGTCATGGAACAAACAAGAAAACAAAGGCTTCTTTGAAAACTAGTCTTAATTATTAAAACTACTTATATATTTATCGATTATAATACCACCACATTTAATAAAGAGTAGTTCTTATAGTTGCTATTTCAACAATATCTGCGTTTTATTAGTGCATGTAGGCAAAACTTTATCTACTTTTAACAATGTGCACATTGCTACATTGTTGCCGTTGGTAAATTTTCTAACATTTCGATTCGTATTCAATGAACACGCCGCCTGTTGAATAAAATATGCTGAAGCCCTGATATATAACAGTGCCGTGCGATCGAGGTTACGGTTGCATTAGTAAAACAATTATCTATATATTAGTACGTGAAGCAAAAACTTTGTACCCCTTTTTACGAAAATTGCGCGGACGGAGGAGTATGAAATTTCCCACCCTTATAGAGAATATAGAGAAGGAGTGCAGAATGTTAATATTTTTTTCATTTATGCATAAAAATACATTAGATCAATAAAAAACATTACACATGTGTTAACACACAAGGGGTAACTATTACACATGTGCACATTACGCATGCATACTATTTGTTTATTGTCAAACTTTTCTTATTGCTTATAGTCTGTGGTCAAATTGAAAATAGATTAAATATTGTTTGTCTTTATTAATAACTAGTACCCGTCCGCTTCGTTGGGCATTTAAAATTAACATTATTATTTCTCACCCTCACAAAGATTCTCATCATTAACGCCCCCGCGACTGGTGTAGGGAGACCAACACTCATATACTTATTGCCTAAAGTGTAGTCTTGGCGAAATCTGTGATTATAGAAGTATTATAGTTGAATTTCGACTACCGCGGCACCACTAGTAATTCGAATTGAATGAGTGACTAGTTCAAAGCTCCAATAAGTAAAAAGATGGTGCAGCACTATTACTGAATATAATACCGAATTGGAAATTGCATTACGAATATAATTACGGTATTTTGAAAGTTGTACAAACTAGAATCCGAAGTAATTGAGGAGACGCGGCATACATATTGTAATCTTAGTAGTACTTCGGACATGTGGCCTGACGAAATCCTGACAGCTTGGAAAAACTAATAGTTATAGGTCACGTGGAAGGAAAGAGAAGTCGAGGAAGATCGCCAACCAGGTGGACGGACATTGTAAAGGAGGCCACAAATACCAGCGTCCCGGGTGCCATTAAGCGGGCCGAATGCAGGCAACGTTGGAGGAAGCTGGTGCAGAAACTAGACCAAGGTGGTCATGACCCTCAGTAATGAGGCAGCGACGAAGAAGAAGAAACTAGAGTAGGATTTCAGGGTTTGTAGCCATGAGACAATGAGCCACATCGGAAAATGTTATGCGCATTATGAATTTTTAAGTCACTTTGTCGCTCACAGACGAGATTCGAATTTTTTTATATGATTGAATTTATTTACTTACTATTAAAAATGTATGCAGAAAATATTTTACTACTAACCTGATTGGGTCCAGTAAGATTCAATCCGCAGGAGTTGCAACGGAGACATTCCTCATGATAGTGGTTGTTGTCATACAGCGGAGACGGTTCTGAAAATTGTCTCAGATTAGGTATTGTAATTTTTAATTATTATAACTTACATTGATTTTTAAGATATTCCTGTTATATATACAATGTGTTTACTATTGAAATTTATTCCAAGAATTAAGATCTTGTAGAGTTTTGTTTGTGCATTTGGATAATAATATGTTTGCCAAATTACATCTAGATCGAATCAATATTCAATTGATTTACAACTACTTTTATTACGAGGCTGTAAGAGGTTCTTTATTACTCTCAATAAACATTTAACGGCGTCTATTAACCGAAGTTCTTACGTACAAACGGGGGAAGTACTTAAAAGTTTTCTATATCTGTGTAACAATGTAGGTACTTAAATTTACCTCGGATGTAATAAGGGTTCGTAGTTAAACAGTGCGTTGACTTAGTATTATTTTCTAATGACGGTAATCACAGCGTGGATATACTATGAGAAATATATCTTTATATAAAAAAAGTTTATTCCATTGCTTAATATGTTATTGTATGATAAGCAAGTTATTAAGAAATATGTTTTTAATCTCTTTCGAAGCGGACTATCGAGTAAAAAGATATTATTGTGTATTCCTACTAGGTTAAGCTAGTTTGACCACAAAGGTTTTTAGTAATGTATTGATTTTTTAACCCAAAGACGGGAGAACGACTTCACGGTCCACGTAGTGTTAAGGGGTTACTGGAGCTCGTGGACACCACAGCGTGTATGACGCAAGCCACTTTGAGACATGAAGACTAAGTCTGAATTGTGTACTACAATAGCTGTCTCACTTTTCAAACTAGAATACGGCTTTGCAGCAGAAACAGGCGGAATGGTAGTACCTACCTAACCACTAATTTCTATTCTATCAGCCAGCCCACAGACGTCCACTGCTGGACATCGACCTCCCCCAAGCTTCGCCACAAAGACCGATCCTACGTTGCCTACATGCAGCGGATCCTCGCAATCCTCAATAGGACGTTGGTCCATCTTGTGTGAGGCCTACCTACGCTATGTCTCCGGTAGACACAGTCGCCACTTAAGACCTTTCTGGACCCAACGGCCATCCGTTTTAAGAGCAATGTGCCCTGCCCACAGCCACTTCAACATCGCAATCCTTTGGTTTACGGTATGGTTTTCCTGCGAATCTCCTCATTTCAGATTTGATCTCCTAGGGAAATTCCGAGTATAGCCCGCTCTATTACTATTTTGGTAACCTTGAGCCTTATCTTAAGGCCCATTGTGAGTGACCACGTCTCAGTGCTATAAATCATCACTGGCAATACCCACTGGTCACAGACTTTCGTCTTGAGACACTGTGATATTTGTGATGAGAAGATTTTACGCAGATTTTACGTACCTACTAAAACAAGATAGAAAAGTAGAATCTTGTTTATTAAACACAGTATATGTAAATAAGTACACTGAGCCAGAATTTGTATGTGGTTTGTAAAAAGTGAAAGCGAATTTCACCTCTGGCATTGTGCCAAAGGGTAAAGTAGTGTAGCTCGGAAAGTTGCCAAAAGTGGAGGCTTAAAATTTTAAGTCTCCGTTACAAATGGCTGGTGTCGTAGCAAGTCATAACTTTCGATCTAATATAGTTCAGAAATACGTTCTGCAGGAAATACTTGTTCAAAAAAGTAAGCAGTGAAAATAAATCAAGCCGAAAGAACTGGAAAGTTTGAAACTTCATCTATTTTCTGTCCTTTTCGCAGTCTTTCAAAATTTTATGAACTAGTTCGAACAGAAACAGCTATCAGAAATAGCATTGAAGCCAATTCCATATCTCAGGGAATGGAGTGAAAAAATTACTCCAGTCATCTGTCGACTTTGTGTGTGGGAGCTGGCATTTTATTATGAGTGGGATGACCTAGCAAGTAAAAGAATGCACACATTATTCAATGCTTTCCCGAAGTAAGATGTCCATAGGTTCTTATGTCCAAATGCTATTGCACGATTTAAGCGAACGTTTTGAAGTTGAGGAGTATAGAACATGGGAATGATACAAAATATTCCAAGGATCGTCTGTTGGTTCTCTCTGCCTCATTTTAGGTACAGAAGGTAGTTTTGATTTAATTACAGAATCTTCACTCGCACCGAACTTGCAAATTCAGGATAGCAAATTTCAAAAAAAGCAAGTTCCCAAAAAGCAATTTTAACAAAGCAAGCAAGCAAAAGGAAGCAAATTTAAAAAAAAAACTTTGAAACTTGAACTTCTATCACCACATTTTGTTGCATTGCCTGATGGTTTTGAGCTCTATTAATATCTATTTAAAATATAAATTCTTTATCTCATCAGGGTTCAAGAAGAGACTTGAAAGACAGTTTCACAATTGTACTGGAAAAATATAGAAGTTAGCGAGGTACTAAAAACTTGTTAAATCATTATTAGAATCTAAGTAATATTACTATGAAGAATTTACAGAGTATTTTCTTAGTTGATTTGTTTTTTCTTTATTAAATAACTTCTCTGATCCAGCCTTCAACCTCTTATGACGTTTAATTTGTAATTAGCACAGGTTCTAACAACTTTTTTTTCATTCAACCTAAGGTTAATCTACGAGGTAAAAATCTGTCAATGTGCATACATCTTTGAGATATTATTGTCGAAATTTAAAATTGCGTTTTGTGCGCTGTATATTATTATAAAATATCTTCGTTCAAAATTTTAATAAATTGCCTCGGGCCAAGATAATAGAACTTGTGTAAATTTTAACCTCGCACTTAAAGTCAATTAGAATCGCGATTCACATTGAAAATTGTATGTAAATTTATTACGGTTGAGTTAGAGTTTCATTTTAGTTAGATTTTAAAAAGCAATATTGGATCTGTTTTGGGCTTTGTGTCGAAAAGTGATGTAGATTTTAAGGTTTGAGAGGATTTTATTATTGCTTTGGTAAGCAGACGAGCATGCAGACCAGACAAAAACTGGTCATTGTCGCTAAGTAAGGTTACGAACAACGTCGCGCCACTTCTACCTATGTATATTTTTCAGAATTAGATTTGTATTACCAGTGTAAAATGGCAGATAAACATTGAGAACCTCATTGGAAAATGTGATAGCGTTCGTTGAAAGTAGTTACAGAAAAAAATTGTTACAGAGTATTATTATCATCGGCTTTTAGTACAAAGAGATAAAAGAATTTGGTAGTATGGTAGATTTTTTGTCCCTACCAAAGCTGGTAGCCTTAGAAGGTTATGCCAGCGTAACCTGATGAGTAGGTGAGCTCACGGAGCTCTAACCTGGGAACGTTGCTAGCACTAGCCCTAGCAAGAGAAGTGCTTCACAGAATGTACCACCGGATCGGAAAAGCGACCCACTGAGAAGATCCCGCGAGAGCCTCTGTTGGATATGTCTGTGGGTTCATTTGCTCGTTGGACGAGAACAGTGACCAGTATGGTAGGCATATTTTTTGCTATTATGATATCCTATTCGTTGACAGCAGGGTATTGGTATCACTACTGAACGTGTGAATCTATATCTATGTTCTGTTTTTTTTATCGACAGTAAATCTACAGCACGCTATGAACTAGGATTAGAGACACTTTATTTTTTAATAATGCTGTCTCTCTCATTGTTTAAATATGCCCATTTTAACATCACTCCTTGTTAAGCAGTGATGTAAAACGTAAACTTTCGTGAAACACATTATTATTTCAATTTCATTAGTATTTGTATTTTAGTCCATATTTGATTGGATACTCCTGAAACAACTACTAACATTTACATAATTTTAATAACACAGTCGTTTAAATTATTTTGATACAGACGAGGTATTCTGAAGCCGTAAATGAAACTAAATAATTGGAACAGATATTGAAATACAAACGAATTTGATTGAAAACAGGGCGTAATTAATATCACGCTAGAGCGGTAAAATGGATCGTAAATAAAGCATTTGCTTTTTATAGCGAAGGTATAATCAAAGATGATATTGTTACGGGCCGTGGGAGTTATATTGTTTCAATATTCAGTTGGTTTATCGTTCTTGTATATGCAAGTTATTGTTAATAAAAATGAGTAGGTAATGAATGATATAAAATTTTCCGCGAGAAATTTCTGGGAGAAGCCGAAATTTTATGGGTTCATTTGTCTTTCTCGTAATATCTTACATTATCATGTATTAAATCGATACTTTCTAATATTACTTGTTTGATCGTCTATAGTCATTTAACATGTAAAATATGATGTTGTATTTATTTATTTGTTCGAGACTCATTAAGTTAAGCCTCTGTAGAGTTGTTGTTTGTAGTTTAAGGAAGGTTTCTATTATAGTTTCAATGAACGGACTTATAAAAAAGCACGTCTGTTAGCAACACCCTTCATAAGCAAGCAACATTTTAAAATGTAATCTTTAGTTTCTTGGAAGGATCTTAACTTTTTCTCTCTATATGATTTGTTAAAATTGTTGGTTCGTTAAAATTAAAATTATTTTTTCCTCAAATATTTTTTTCTGAAGATCAAACTGTTTTACTTTTTTATTTGTTTGATATTTTTCTTTAATTGCCTCATTTACTTTAATTGTAAACACAATAAGTAACAGCAATATAATACTTAATAGATTTTTTAACTTTTCGAGCGGAAACACCGTAATATCCCTTTAAAAATTATGTTATGATACTTCAGAACAAAGTATCCGAGTTCGTTATAAATCAAACATTAATTAAATTAAGCGAAGAGAAAATGACACGGCAGGTTGATAAATTTTGATTGCTCTAACTTCGAAATGTACTCGTACTGTTGGGAATTTGATGAGTCAGGAGTACCAAGATTTATTCAAACAAACAGGGACTGTTTTGTGAAAAGAGGAATGCAGTAAATGAAAAAATAATTTTATATTACAAAAAAATGTGGTTTTCGAGACTCGTAGATATAATAAAAAAAGGGTGCGTGTACTTATGTACGCGCGTAAGAAGTTATACTTTATTTTTATTAAATTTATTTTTTTATTTTTTATTTAAATTTTAATCAATTTGAAAAAAAAAAACGATTAAACAACATCCTCAGACACGCATATTGGACATACCTTTTCTTGACATCGTATAAATTCGGTAATTCTCGGTACGGTACGGAAAGTTCACCTGCGGCTATATTCAGACTCGCCAAGTTACGTCGGTCGTATTGTAATGAGCGATTTAGTGGACAACTTCATTCTGTTAATTTTGTGTCATTGTGCGCGCGCATCGTAAAATTTCACTCTCATCAATTTTTCATAACGCGCCTAAAGAAGTACAACTTCAAAAATTAATGCAATATGTGAATATTGCTTTTATTCTCTGGAGTTTATTATCAAATAGCTCGTATGCACTCTGGTAAAATACCCAGTCAAACAAATACTAGATTCTACAATTTCACCACAAGACACGACCAAAAACTTCAATGACAATTTTTTTATAATTAGACGGTATTTAGTATCACAAGAGTTCTATCGCAAAGGCATAAATGACCTTCCTATTAGATGGCAGCAATGTATAGATAATAATGGTAGATATTTTGATTAAATAAATATGTTAAATGAAAAATAATTTCAATTTTTCAGTACAAATCTGCAATTACTTTATTTGCCATACTTTATCAACTCTGCCAATGCCGTCTACCAAGCCCGGATGAGAAAAGAGGAGGGTTGAGTTGAAGTTTGACGGCAGAAATAGGCAGGGTGGTGGTACCTACCCGCGCGGATTCACAAGAGGTCCTACCACCAGTAAAAAAGCCTTGAAGAGCTAAATCTCTTTCAACTCTTCCATTGCCGTGGAAGGACGCGGGGACCCACCATGTGTATTTTTCCAAGAAAGCTTCATGACGCCACGACCCTCAGGATTGAGAATTATCGAAGCAAGGAGAAGGATCATACTTTAACCCTAATAATTTTTGCACGCCATGTGACAATAAAAGATTTGACATCCTAAAATAAATGGAATACTGGAATTTTAGGAATTTTGAGTGTCTGGTTTGATGTATAAGTAATCAATGCTTTTTCTGACCCAAAACAGTCTCGCAGTCCAGTTTCATGAGACTATTTTTTTCAAAACGAAACTTCCTTCGGACCTCATGTCTCAAAATGAGTGTTCACGCTGTTTCAGTAGCAGCGGATGGGTGGCCAGCTAAATATGTTCAGTGTCATAAAACTACTCAAAGTCAACTCGACAAATGATTATTCTATTTCATTCGCATTAAGGTGGTGGTATATTTTAGTTAAGAGTTCGGAAAAGGTCTGCTCACATCCTGTATATTGTGTAAATCTGTAACCATTTACCTTATGAGTTCTATTAAGAGTTTAATACATATAATTTCATTTATTAGCTAATAATAATAATAAACGTATAATATAATAATAATAATAATTGTTTTACTATATTATTATATAGCTCTTGCGCCACTCGTAGTCAAACAATCAAACATGTGATCTGTAGACCTCTACGAAGGAGCTACGAAGCTACGGAATCGATGTAGCGAAAAGTTCAATGAAAAAGCGAATATTAAGATTAGTTGAAGGTAAACTCACGGTTCGTATCGCATGCGGTGTTGGAAAGTGCAGAGGCGAGTGATCGCTTACCATCAGGTGGACTGCTTGTCTGTTTTGGTAAGATTACGATTATAAAATAATTTGCATGAAGTTTTCATGGAATGTTTAGTTATGTAAAAAGAATAAAAATGGATTTAAAATGTTATTAGATTTTAAAATGACGTTAATGTAAATTATCAAGTTTCACTCACCATTGCTATGGCATACAATGCGGGTCACACCTAACGACGTTTTTTTCCTTAATTTAAATGTTACTAATCTAAATCCGCTCTTAAAACTATAAAACAGTCATATTTTTTGCAAAAATCCAATAAATTGTATCAACTTAAATATAATTGGTGTTTTGTTTAATACACTTGGAGGCAACCAGTTCAAAAGTTTATAAAGTTATTTAAACATCACTAGTAGTATTTTCGATACGCGAGTTAATTTACGATAATAATAAACAATATCAGCACAACACCTTCATAATAGTTTATTAAATTTATATACTTTCAGATCGGAATTATCGAATAAGCAAAACCGAATAACCGCAATTTTATTAAGAATAAATTCGCTTTACAATAAAAAAAAACCAATAGATTCGTTGTAACTTCTACGTTGAACGGTTGATTTTTAGTATATATTTTTTTATCACGCTTTTAAGCTATCAGATATATTGTTGTTGAGGTTATCCGTTGTCTACGGTACGTCACTTTCGTTCTAGTAAACATGGCAGTGGTCGCAACAGATGAGAAGGCGCGGGCGAGCGGGCCTGCGCCACGAGTTCACGTTCATCTCATCTCGATATGATCCGCGCGATCGCGCTGTTACTTGTGCCATTCCGAAATGACAGCTAGCTACATCAGGAGTCCACTGTGGCGCTACTGAGCATACCTCTCTCTCACAAAAGAGAGTCCCTCTCACTTTTGCCTCCTTGTCGACAAAACAGCTCGTAGACAGAGAGACGAGAGCTACCGACGAATCGATTGGCTGACGAAAATGGGCGGGGGTCGAGCACGTGGCTAGGCCGTGGTTAGTGAGTAGGGCTCGTAACGCAAGTGAGTTTACTGTTGTAATTTGCTTCACGTACCGCGAAAGCTGTTCAGCTCGTGTTGGAATGAAAGTTCGCGCCACTCGTTTATCTTTGAATACGTTTTAAATTTGTATGCAACTTGTGCAACTTAAGTTAAGATTTAGTGTAATAGGATTGCAATATTTATCCGTATGGCTATTTTAAATTAAATTTGAACGATGTCGTGTTATTTTGTTTTGTTTCTAACAAATAAATTCAATCGTGTCGACATGTCGACTAACTTCATTGCTAGATTTTTAAAGGCTAGAATTATGTTTGTATGAAAGATACTCAATGAGTCTAGAAACGATTTCTGTTTTTTAAATGGCACCTTGCCTAATATCTTTACCTAAAGATCGTTTTGAGACACGCACACTCTGAAGATAGTATCAAAGAATTCTTCACATTGTAACCGATAGACAGATCGATGTTGTGTGAGACAACGTAGCTGTGTTGACCCTCTTGTGCTTGGGACGTTGTGACATTGAAAATTTCAATGCATAATAAATGCTCATTAAATAGGGTACGGCAGAATTCTTTTATCGTAGAATCACTACGAATTCATGTGTGTTAGTAATAAATTTGTTCACAAGCTACCTTGTACCACAAAAAACCTTGCCCCAGATTCGCTTCGCCGTCTACTTCAGTCATGCGATTGTAACATGTGCTTTATCTGTTCGAACACATTCGTGCTTACCAATGAAAGTGAAAACCTAAATAAAATATTGACTTAGTTAAACCAGATTACAAATATTGTATATTGAACCGAGAAGCAACGTGTAGAGTTGTTTGATTCATATTGATATGGTGTCGTGTATGAGCAACATGTTTATGTAGACCAACTAAAGTAAGTTAGCGATTTGGTTATGCTCTTGGCATTGTCGATGCCCGTGAGTGACAGAAACATGTGTCTTTTAGACTGTCAGAATTACGTCTTCGAAGAGAGCATAAAATTAGCTTACCTGTTTGCGTGCTGGAATCGAAGAATGTGCTTGTTGTCTCAACAGTCATAGTTCCTATCGTTCCGTCCAATATTTGTGTTGATGAATCGCGTCGACCGCGTGCTCTCATGCAAGCGTCATCGCTTTGTGAGCTTTGTCGTCTAAAGTTTCGGCACCTTATCATCTCTTCGGTTGTAGATTGTCGCCGAAAACCGCGAGCAATTAATATTTCTTCTGTTGTCGATTGCCTCCGGATCATAGTGCGCTCCGGAGGACGTGCACACGGGCTTGGATCCCGGCTGGAGCATGAACTGGATTCTGGGCTTCTAGCCCTACCCATTCTTGCACAAGAAGCTTGACGCCGTAATCTGCTTCGGCGACGGGCTGCCGAAGGACTCAATTCCCCACCACCTGCCCGGTCGGGACTTAATTGTGAACGGTCACGTCTTGGACGAGCAGCAGAATCAGGACTAAGGGAATCTCTTCTAACTCTTCCTTCATCATCGGGACCTAAGGATGGGCCAGAATCCCTTCGCCTGGCTCCAGGAGGACCAGTCGGATCATCGAATGCTGTAGCTTGTCTTTGTAGTCTACCCAGTCGGCGTTCCGGGCTTGCAGCTGCACGAGAATCTCGTCTCGCCCGACCACACTGTGTAGTCGAGTCTCGGCGACCTCCCAAATTTAACGGAGCTTTTCCAACGGGAGTGGTCGCTTGATTAGTCTGTGCAGCTTGAGTGCCTTGGCTTGTTTGAACTGACTGCGATGTGCTGGTCGTCGGTACTGTTGGTGAGGTCGGTGATGGTGTCACAGCCGACGTTATAATCGTAGGCATAGTCATAGGGTGACATTCTCCGTCAGATCGGCTTGGTTCGTGGACAGTGACTACGGTTACCGATGGTGGTTGAGTCGAAGGACCCGGATCGGAAGATACTTCTACGAAAGATGGTGCAGCAGGTGGAGGTGGAGAGCTGCGTCGCTTCCTGTGTGTTGCTACAATGCGTGGTGGCTGAGCAATTATGGAGTCACGTCTATGTCTAGTACCATCGACTGAATCTCTACGTTCCTTTTCTTCAGAACTACGACGTTTCATACGTTTATCTTTTGTTGGTATAATAATAGTTGAATCCCTTCGTTCAAAATAATTCGAAAATTCCGCTCGGAAATCTGGCTGAGCCGATTTCGAATCACGACGCTTGGAAGCCATGGACTTAATTCCAGAATCAGCTGAGGAATCACGCCGTCGACGCGGTGGAGGCTCGGAACGTGTCCACGGCAGGGATCGAGCTAGGTCGGCAAGTGTTTCTCTTCTAGAGAGTGGAGCTCTCTGTCTTCTTGGAGCACCACCCCCTCCCCATTCACGGAGAATGTCAGTCAGCTGGGCCAGGGATGAACGACGACGACGAGGTCCACCTGCCATAAGCAAATCGTTACTAATCTAATCTGATCTTAATGTTAAACGGAAAATATTCACAACTATTATTTGTTATTATTTAATCTATATATTAATACGTGAAGCAAAAACTTTGTATCCCTTTTTACGAAAATTGCGCGGACGGAGGAGTATGAAATTTTCCACACTTATAGAGAATATAGGGAAGTGCACAATGCTAATATTTTTTTAAAATAATGCATAAAAGATACATTAAATCAATAAAGTAAACATTACACACACTACACTGCATTTGACACACACACACACATATACTCTTTGCTTATTGTCAAACTTTTGTTATTGCTTAAAGTCTGTAGTCAAATTGAGAATAGGTTAGTATTGTTTATCTTTAATATTACGAGTATTTGTCTATAGTGTAGTCTTGGCGAAATCTGTAACAATAGGACCATAATAATGTTGAAACTTATAATTTCAATTAATTATAGTCGAATTTCGACTTCTGCGGGACCACTAGTATATTAAAATTCATCAAATTTAGAATTCTCTTAAAAAAATAGCCTTACCTCTGGGTTGATCTGAGACGTCGGGCTCTGGCGGCGATAGACAGGATACTTGCGCCGCAGAATCTCTTCGGCTGCCGAGTCTTTGCCTTAGTGTGGACTCTTCTAGCGTGGAACGGGTCAGCTCGTCCCAGCCGTTGCCGCCGGCCCACACAAGCCCCACTTGGTGGGACAGTATCGGGAGGTTGCAAACGAAACATATTGCGGTCATTGTCCTGTCAAAAGATGGGACAGTGTTAAGATTACAACGTTATAAATATGAAAAATAATAATGTGGTGAGTGAGAGAACGAGCCAAGGACAATTACTTACGATTTGTTTTTATGAAAATTAGTGTCTCTACACATGTAGACAGTGATACGTGGTTTACTAGGGACACGGAGCGAACAAGCGTGAAGTCTCATATCGCGCCCTTGTGTTCGCATCAACGGCCTGATAAAACTGAACTACCGATATTAAGTAATAACCACTCCTATGCCTGTCGACACGTATTATCAACAAACAATTGGCGATAAGTGCACCATTCCTATGGGAGACCTACGCCGCCTCTGTCTGTAATTGACAATGTATTTTTGGCACCATAATACGCGATACATAAATAAGTATTTTCAATCATTCAATTTCCAGAATCGGCGTAGTTTTAGAGATAGACGATTGAATGAATTGTTGATATTAGATAAAATGTATATAGTATATAGGTTTTGTTATATAGTTTCGTGCTTATAACGATGATAGATAAAGGCGCATTTGATTACTTAGCGGTGTTATTGTGTCAGTCGTGATAAGCCGTATCTCCTCGGTATACAGATGAGCGACTACCCTCTGTGACTCTGAAGACGTACTGTTCAGCGGCCTCTATTATATTTGCCGGAGTGGAAATTGCGTGATTATTCAGATTGAAATCCTTTAAACGCGAACCTATTTAGTCGTAAACTTCCTATCTGCTTACGCCTTGTTTTGAGCGAACAATGTGGAAACCGTGATAAGCCATTGTATCAGCTTGTTTCAACTCTTCCGACTCGATAACATTAATTTAATTTTAAAACAATACATCTAAAACTAGATTGTAATGAAATTGCTATTTTATGGCAGAGTGCGTATTTGCGAAACAATATGTGTGATATGATTCAAACTGTTTTAACTAAGCGCTAACGTTCGCGTGAGATTTTAATTTGAATGTGCCACTTTAATAAGTACCAATTTCAGTCTGGTTTTCAAAACTACGGAGTGATCGATTTTACTACAAGTACCTAATAGCCCTATAAGCGATTTAGATGATTTACTCGTGTTTATTCGCCGTGTGATATGCCGTCAATGATTCTCAATAAACTAGTTTTGTACTAGCCCTGTTTGTATTATATTAAGCTGGATAATGTACTACACTAAGTGAATTCCGTTGTTAATGTATTGTGGGTGATTTGATTAAGAGAATGGCTCCTATATTTCGTTAAAGGAAAATATGACATAATCAAATGATAAATAATATAACGAAAGCGTCATGCATATTAGGTGTTCATGCATTGAATTATAATACAAGGTACTATTTTCATGCTTGGATTGTTGAGGGGACCTGTAATGACGCAGACGAGGTGAAGGGGACTGAGGCATGTCGAAAGCCGGTTCATTGGGGTCGGGACGCTAACTGAGGCTACGTTCCATACACAATATCACATCAAACACTTTGTACATCTGAAACAAATCGGTTAATACAGGATTAATCGGTTATGAAGTCGTCGTGGCCTAAAGGTTAAGGCGTTCGGTGCATATCTTGCGATGCAACTGAGTTCGGATCCCGCAGGCGGGTATCAATTTTTCTAATGAAATACGCACTTAACAAATGTTCATGATTGACTTCCACGGTGAAGGAATAACATCGTGTAGTAAAAATCAAACCCGCAAAATTATAATTTGCGTAATTACTGGTGATAGGACCTCTTGTGAGTCCGCACGGGTAGGTACCACCATCCAGCCTATTTCTGCCGTGAAGCAGTAACGCGTTTCGGTTTGAAGGGTGGGGCAGTTGTTGTAACTATACTGAGACCTTAGAACTCATATCTCGAGGTGGTTCTTTTTACGTTGTAGATGTCTACAGGCTCCGGTAACCACTTAACATCAGGTGGGCCGTGAGCTCGTCCACACAACTAAGCAATAAAAAAGTGTTTAGGACGTCAAGCACGAAGCGGTTCTGAATTTCGGTTTGAAGGTCACTTGATCTCGTATCTGAAGTTGGATGGTGATGTCTATGCGCTAAGTTAGTCGTTAACGGGTCGTGAAGTCTTCTGTCATCTCGACAGTTTGACTATCGGCGGTCCCTCACCGGTAATTACGGGTTTAATTTTCATGAATCGACTTTACTCAATCAGTAACTAGTTTATTAAACTACCGGCAGTTTTATTAAACAAATATTTATGCTACTCAGTCGTTAACTACAGCTTTGTCTGATAACACAGCAATTAATAAAATGAAAAGCTCAGACTCGTTACACATTATAATTAAATTAAAGTAATGCATGCATCACACATAACAACATCGACTGGAACGTGTTAGAAAATAATTCATCGGGGATAAGCAACTTCTAAGGTAATAACGAAATTATATTATTAAAACAATGTAATTCTGTATGTAGTGTATTGTTTCTATATAACATTTTTATTAGAAGACGAAAAGGTAAAAGTCGTGGTTGTGCTGTGATTTTTTTATACAAAAACTTTCATGGGATGTTTCGAGGTTTTCATTTAGTTCACTGTAATTTTTATAGATGGCGGTATTAAAGCACAGTCCACTGTCTTCAAAGTGTGTGTTTACAAGTTTTCTATAATTTGTACTAGATGGCGCTAATAACAACTCCAAATCATTAACGATATTGAGCTATTAAATAAATGATGTTAAATTGTTAATTAATAAACGTAAAAGTAAGTTTGTTTCTTTGTTAAGCTTTCATTTTTGAAATGTGAAATTTTTGAAATTTTGCATACAAACGGATAGGAAATGTAAAGGATTTGGAGTAGGTATTTCAATGCAAAAGCATTAGGCAACGACTTGGCTTTGCCCCTGGCATTGCTAAAGTCTATGGGCGACGGTAACCATTTACCATCGGAAAAGCCGTATGCTCGTTCGCTTAAAAGGGCAATAAAAAAAGAAAAAGAAAAAAATATTTAAAACTGATTAAGTAATGTAAAAACTTAAAACCTACAATTTCCATTTCAATCTATAGGTAATGTTCGGAAAACAGTTCATTTGTAACAATTAATAAAAAAATTAGTATTTAGTTTATAAGCCGCAAATCGAATACATTTCAGACGTATAAACTACAAATGGAGGATTGATTAATAAAGAGCTTAACTAAAAAAAAGATTTCCAACTACACAAAATCTTGACTGATCTCTTTTTTTATTTTTTGTTGCTATTCGCTAGACCGAGGTTTAAAGCCGTCCGCCTCTGCCTAAAGCGAATTGAATCATTTCATGCAAGCCTCCTATAAAGTCGGTTTGGTTTTGATATTTTTTGTGATATTTACTTTTGTCTTTCCGAACATTTCGAGAACGTTTTAAATAAAATTCGATATTGGAAATTTAAAAAAATCTTGTGTCTGTATGTGTTTGTGTGTTTTGACTGCTTTAGATATTTAGTGCAAAACCGTAAAGCCTGTTCGATGTAAATTCTAACAATTATCGTAAAATTTACCGTATTTTTTAAATATTTATTATATTTAAAGCACCTTATTTTAATCGGATATACTGGAGCCCGGAGATACCAAAGTAAACATTATTAGCCCGCTGAGTTTCTCACCGGATCTTCTCAGCGGGTCGCGGTTCCCATCCAGTAGTAGATTCATCCGCGAAGCAGCTGCTCTTGAGCTGTTAGGTCTCCTTCGGAGGCGCTCGGGCAGCTGTTAGCAAATCCCACCCCTCCTGGCTGAGCCTTTGCTCGCTTACCTGTCCTGGTGATACTGGAAAGGCCTCCGGGCCACCAGTAACCCTTAAATCAAAAAAAGTCACTCCAAAGTACTTACGGCCACCCACCTTAAGGCATTATAAAATCACCACTTGTGTAGCAGCAGGTGCTAAGGAGTCTCGTGAGCCCGTACGGGCAGGTGCCACGCCCTGCCCATTTCTGCCGCAAATCAATAATGTTATCCAGCTTAAAGTGCGGGCGAACCGTTATAAAATTAAGACTTAGACTTCAGGTTACAATTAAGATTTAGGCTACAGGTGGGTGGAAACATTTACGTAACATAAGTTGCACCGGGTTTTTTTTAGGACTGAGGGATTACTGATGGCCTGGAGGCCCGGAGGCCAGGATGCCCGGAGGGGTAGGATTTGCTATCAGCTGTCCGAGCGCCTCCGAAAGAGATCTAACAGCTCAAGGGCAGAAGAATCTTTAGAACCGGGTGGACCGCCCTTTCGGTCACCCGTCTATCCAATAAAAAATGTAGACTATATTAAGATAGGATATTTTTATTATGATCAATGATAGAATCTGATGAAATCGGGTTTATCTGTTATAACAAACACAATAGTGTGTTCATACGAATAAACACCTGATTTTCCGTACCAAAAGATCTAAAAATCGTCTGGTAGTTTTTAGGGCGAATGAGATAAAAGCAACGATTTATCGTGAAGAAATGTAACGTTTTTATTTTTTCTGAATTACAAATTGGACACGGGCGAGAATAAGAGCGAGATACGTTTCTAAATAAGAGACTTCACGTCTGCCTTGATAAGAGATTTCATGTGTATAATATATAGTTAATAAATAAGGTACAATCATAGAATATCACATTGACAGCTTACTGGGTACCTTCGGCTTTGTACCATGGGATCGCGGCTTAATTTCCGGATATTTGATGATCAGAACCTGGTTGTACTCTCTACACTAAATACATATGAAGACATACTTCTGTTTTCGTATAACAGTATTCTTATAGAGTGAAATTATGATTGTTTTCTGTTGTACAACAGAATTAATCCCTTTAACTTGCACAATGCAACTTATTCACTCAACTTCACATGAAATGTGGGTATTCAGCGAAATTCTATCCAACGCAACCAATTAGGTATCTCTACTTCAAGTTGCTTTGTTCAGGTATTTGTTCATGTACATAGTCAGTTTCCGGGAATCCTTTGGGAAAATTCAAAACAATTTCGCAATTCAACTGAAAACAATTCTGTATTAAATTTATGCATTTACTTTGTACATGTTTTTTAAATTTAAATTTAGAAGTTATATACAATTATTTAAAAAAAAAAAGGTTTAGATGGGTGGAAGAGCTCACAGCCCACCTGGTGTTAAGTGATTACTGGAGCCTATAGACATCTACAATGTAAATGCGCCACCCCCCTTAAGATATAAGTTCCAATGTTTCAAGTATAGTTACAACGGCTGCCCCACCCTTCAAACCGAAACGCATTACTGCTTCACGGCAGAAATAGGCATGGTTGTGGTACCTACCCGCGCGGACTCACAAGAGGTCCTACCAGTAAAGTAAGTAGTTACCGGAACCCACAGAGGTTTGAATGACGTCACCAATTTTGGGTATTGTACGTTTTGTTATGTCAAACAAAATGTTCCATACAAACTGCCAGCGAATATATACATAAATCCTAATTTTTTTTTCACAGAATATCCCATGAACAAACGGGAATGTTGTCCAATTTAGATTCGGTTTTGATTGATGGGGGTAGGTAAAGTTTGAAATGAATTCCGTGAGTACGTTCGTTGTCCCGCGGGCCTGCTCTGCTCTCTCGATAGAAACATTCAATTACACTTCGAAATCGTCTTTTTGTTTCCGTTGACAGCTTTCAAAACTCTTAGTAGTTCAAACGAGTCTCACAAATGTGAGATTGACATAGGTAATACTCGTATACGCTCTTAAGTTTTCGGGATCCGTAGACATATTTTCAAAAAGAATTTTACCGTTAAAAATGGGTTTGTTTTTTATAATTATTAATATATTATTGTCGACGCCTCAAATAGCTTAGAATTTTATTATTAAGCGCCTATTCATAGTCAATAATTGAGTATTAACTGTTAGAAATATTATTTATTCTATTCATTCCATTATAAGTTTATATTGGCTGTATACGCTAAAAGGCATAGGCATAAGCCTTACATAGTGTCAAATTTATTGAGAATAGCTGTCACTGGCTGTCAACTTTTCTGTCACTTCCTTCGCCATGGCTTCGTGGCTCGTTGTGTGTGAGTTTTTCTAATCTTTAATTATTTTGATAATCTAAAGAAATGTAAAGCATTTTCGCATTGGTTTATAAATAGATTGTTGTTAAATATTATGGCGTGTTAGTTTTCTTTTAACGGTCTGCACACTCGCCCGTTCCCGAACTTATACTGCCAGCTCATAGGTACGCTATACCTATGTTAACATTAACTGCCATCTGTTTTTCTATAAAACTATTTTTTTGGCGTTTACGTTCCATTTCACGCAGAAAGTTTTTGCTTGGCTTTTCATTTTCGCGTATTCATCACCGAAAAAACGTAATAACAACAATAAAAGAGACATTAAGCCGTTAAAGTAGTTTTCAAAATGAGATTGAGAGTTTTGTATCAAGCATATTTTAGCATATTTGTATTAAGTTTGTATCATTTGTATT